TCTGATTCCTGAGAGTCTTGGAAAGTTTATTGAAAATGGAGAGTTGCTCTCTGCCTGGAGCTTCTTATGGCCGTCACATCTACCTGGAGAAATAGCATGCCCAAGGATAAAGCTACCCAAGGGGAAGCAGAGCAGAGACGAACAGGCAGACGGAGACAGCCATCTGATGACACAGATGAACCTCCTGGATCCAACCGTGCCTGAAGCCCATCTGTCCCTTAATTTTCCAGTTCTATAAACTAGTCAAGCGTCACGTTGCAGGTTTTGAAACAGATGTTAGTCACTTGCACAAGCATGAATCCTGACCACGGAACAATGACTTCGCCCCGGGAGCTAGACTTGGAGCGATGGTGACCTGCAATGTGGAGCAGCTCCCGGAGGGTCTCACTGCTCACTGTCACCCTGAGTGTGGAGCAGCACATGGAAGGTCCCTCTGCTCACTGTCGCCCTGAGGGTGGAGCAGCACGCAGATGGTCTTGCTGCTCTGGGTGGCCAGAAGCCCCCTGTGCCAGGAGCCTGGTGCTCAGGAGAGTGCACCAGGCCCCACGATGCCCACGGGTGACGTCCTGGTGCTGCAGGCAGCAGGTCAGGTCTCAGTGATCGCAAAGGCTCAGGGTGCCCACAGGAAGGAAAGCCCAGTTGCCAAAATGAGATTCTCCCACGAGAGCCTCCAGCCCGACGGCCACCCACAATGACCTCGTGAAGCGATGCAGCTGCAGGTCAGGGTGCTGACCTACTGAGTGTCATCCGTGCACAAAGGACCACTCGGCCCGCGTTGGCCAGCGCGGTGCAGCCCCCAAAGATGCTGGTCAGCCCCCCATCATCTCCAGCCACAGCCACCCAGGGCAAGTATTTGAGACCCAGCTACTTCCCGTCACTCACGTGTGCGCACACACAGGATAGAGGGTGATGCAGGTGGTGCCATCCCCCCAGCTTCACTGTAGGCTTCTTTCCCAGCTCACCCACCTCCACACGCGTGCGCGCACACAACACACACACACACACACAAACACGCACATGAACGCACACACATTCGCGCGCGCGCTCACACACGCACACACACAGGATAGAGGATGACGTGGGTGGTGCCATCCGCCCAGCTTCACTGTAGGCTTCTTTCCCAGCTCACCCACCTCCACACGCGTGCACACACACACACACAAACGCACACGGATGCACACACACACACACACAGACGCACACAAAACCACAAATACCGTGAGGCTCTGCAGCCCTGGGTTTGAGAACCCGCAAGCCGAGAAACATCGTGTGGGTTCAGCAGAAACGGCTGCTGGGGGCTGGAACCGACCGTGTGGCGACACCCTCAGCCCAGCCGACTGTAAACACCAGGCTCACGCTGGCCTATTTTAAAAACAAACGCAAGACAAACTCATCCCTTCCTTCCCGCTCTCCACCTCCCCTGTGAAATCTATTTTAAAAGATCAAAATTTTCTTTACATCCACCTCCAAAATGTGCTGCGGGAGGTAAGTGGGGCATAAACACATGGGGGTGCCGGGGGCGGCGGAGAGCGCGAGCGGGAAGGGGCCGAGGCGTTAGCGACCCCAGCGGAGGCCAATTCTCCAAACCCTCAGGCGCACAGCAACCTCGGCCCCTGCCCGGTGAAGGGGAAGGAGCAGCTTTCTGGATTCCAGAGCTCCAGGCTCACCTGGCCCCCAGCCCCTGACTTGTCTCCACACAGGCCTCCTCCAGGGGCTTGAGTCAAGAATCGGGAGCAGGGGTTGGGGGTGGCCGGTCCCAGTGTCGCCTGGTGGCGCCCAGCACATGTGTCACCAGCATGCACTGGGCCCCCTGCAGTCCCCCCACACTCTGCGCAGCTCACCTGCCGGGTGGCAGAGCTCCGTGCTGCTTCCCATCTGGACAGCCAGTGCCCCGTCCTGGCAGGAGCCCTCACTGTTGGAAACCCACACCCCAGCTCAGCTGCAGTCCCACTCACCCCCGCTGGGCAGTCCTCATGCCCTGGGTCGGGAAGATACCCGCTCCGCCCAACACAATACACATGCCCCACACGGTAAAGGGGGCACCGGGGTCCGCAGAAGGCTGGAGGCACACGCCTGGGGAGGGTGCAGCCCGCAGCAGCTCCAGCCCAGAGGCGGTCGGCAGACTGCACCCCACAGAGCAAGTGCTCGCTCTCCTTGTCCCTCCACTTGGGAGGTTCATCGGGGTCCCCGCATCTGGTCCGGGGACGGTGGCCCCTGTGCAGTTCCCCCATCTCATCCAGTAGACACCTGAACGGAACTTGGGGGTGGACAGTGTGGCTGGTGCCCTCCCTGGCCCGGGCTAGCTAGGCTGGGAGTCCACTTAGACCGGGGGTCCACGTAGACCGTGGAAACAGCCCCAGCCAAGGGCCACGCGGAGCACACAGGTCAAAGGGCTGACACCCTCACCTGAGGGCAGCCCTGGGAGCCCTTGGGAACCCTGATACTCTCCCCTGAGGGAGCCCGCCCTTCCTCACAGACCTGCCCCCCAGGCTGACTGCAGGCCGGCCCTGTGTCCCTGAGACCTCTGCCCGAGGCAGAGAGCACTTCAGCGGCTACAGCTGCAGGCTGGGAGGTGGCGCCAGGGCCTAGAGCTCCTGCTTCCGTGACATTCTGGATGCCTGGAGATGTCTGAGCCCCATGCTGTCCCCTGTCCTTTCCATGCATGGCACAGCTTCTCCAACTATTGGCTCAGTTTCCTGATTTGCACCTCTGTTTCCTACTGGGGATGGATTCCAGCCTTGGCCCCAGCTGCTGGGCAGGGCCCTCACCACAGTGCCCCTAAGCCTCAGACTCCCGCCTGTATCCTGAGTATCAAAGGACTTGGCTCAACTGCAGGCCCCTGAGCCATTACTGTCCCGACCACCTCCACGGGTGGTCAGACTCCTGTCCTGGCTCCTCCCTGCCTACGCTACCTCTTCCAGGAAGCCTCCCAGGATAGCCCCCACAGTACTCCAGTGTCTCCCTTTGAGCTCTGAAACTAGGAACAAGAGGGTCATTTAGAATCTCTTTGTCCCCCATGATATGGCTTGGCTGTGTCCCCACCCAAATCTCATCTTGAATTGTAGTCGCCATAATCCCCATGTGTCGAGGGAGGAACGTGGTGGGGGGTGACTGGGTCACGGGGGCGGCTTCCCCCATGCTGTTCTCACGATAGCGGGTGAGTTCTCACGAGGGCCGATGGTTTTATGGGGGGCTTTCCCTTCGCCCCACTGTGCTTCTCTCTCCTGCCACCGCGTGAAGAACACATTTGCTTCCCCTTCCGCCCTGACGGGCGTTTCCTGAGGCTTCCGGAGCCACGTGGAGCTGAATCACACCTCTTTCCTTTAGAAATTACCCAGTCTTGGGCAGCTCTTTCTAGCATGGTGAAAAGGGGCGAATACGCCCCGCTCCCCAGACAGCAAGCCTCCTCCCCACCCTGTTTGTGTGTCTGAGCTCCTCAGGGGCACCCCGTTGCGGGCTGGCCCAGGGTGGCCTCCAGCCGCTCTCCCAGACTTGCGCCGACTCACCTTCCCAGACCGCACACTGCCCTCCGGAGCACTGCCCTGTGGCCCTGGGAAGGCGTGCGTTCCTGCTGCTTTTCCTCCCTCCCTGGGCTGGGGGCTCTCTTCCTCCAGCAGCCTCAGCACAGGAGGGATGCCATCCATGCTGGGGGGTGAGTGCTGGGGGTTAGGGCCATCTGGAGAGTTCCACACTCCAGGCTGTGATATTCTGGGAGGAAACAGGGCTGAAAGCCCCTCTCCAGGGCCAGCAGGACAGGAAATGACCATGGGGCCCAGTGGGTAGCTGTGTCCTGGGCTGAGTGTTTTTGTGTCACATAGCCAGGCTGGCCCCAGTCCCCCAGAAAGGGACAGTGAGCCCAGCTACCCCCGGCTCCGGGCACTGGGGGCCGCCCACCTGCTTCCTCCAAGGCCCCCTTGGGTGCCCCTGCAAGGGCTGGTGGGTAACCAGGGGCCTCAGCAGAGCAGCGCGCACTTGGGGCTGGGTGCTCTGGGTGCTGGAGCTAAGCCCTTTGCCGGCCTGCCCGCCCCAGCCCTGGTCCCGGGGCTGCACTCAGGAGAAGCCCCCAGCTCTGGTGAGCAGAGGGAGAGCCTGGGAGGGGCTGCGTGGGTGTGGGTTACCCCTCCTTCCCGAGCCCTGCAGCACAGACCACCCTCCCCTGGGTCTGGTTCAGGGTCCCGGGGCGCCGCAGCCCAGCACTCCCAGGGACCCTCACTTTGAGGCCCCATGGAGCTGGATGTGGGGTATAGGGGTCCGCACAGCCCCCACAGCCTGAGGCCCGGAGGGAGACTGGACGGGGCAGGCCTAACGGGCCCCGCAGCAGCCTGTGTGTCCCCCCGGAGCAAGAGGCGGTGGGGAGCGGGGGCGCTGCAGGCATGCTCCTGGCCAGGCGTCGTTCTTCCCAAGGCCAAGGGCAGACGGCAGCCCGGCCGGGCCCACGCCACGGCCCTTCTGGGAAGGGAGACACGGTCTATTTTTGCTCTCTGACAACACAACAGAAGCAGCCGCCGTGACTTATCTCTGCTGCCAAGGACTGAGGCCGCCACGCGGCTGGCTCTGTGCCCTGCGCTGCGCAGCCCCCGCCCCAGCCCCAGCTGGAGATAGGAATGGCGTCAGGGAGGGGCTTCCACGGGCCCAAGAATGTACCCCCACCTCTCCCCTTCTGTGGTCTACACGCCTGAGTCAGCCACTCCCAGAAGCCCCCAGGACCCCTCTGCCAGGACTTCCTGCCTGAGCCGGGCACCCCCTGGGAAGTTTTCCACAGCCCAGCGAGGGTCCCGCTTAAGGGGGCTCCGTCAGGGCTGCCCCAGCTCCCAGGGCCAGGAGCCCTCGGAGGCACCTCCCGTGTCGGAGGCCGGGAACCCAGGTTTCAGGAAACCCCGAGCTGACAAAGCCTCCTGCTGGAGGAGCTGCAGGCCTTTCCTCTGAGGCTGGCGTGGAAGTGAATCTGCCAGATAATTTTAGCACAGAAATGAGCGCTCGGAGGAGGGGCAGGGCCTAGAGAGGCCGGCAGGGCTGCAGAGAACGGCCGTGCGGGTGCTGTGGTGCAGGCAGCCACCCCCACACTGCTCGCTGCACGAGGGGCCTGCTGGAAACCTCGGAGCCCCAGCAGAAGGTGGGTGGCCCGTCACACCCCCATGACTTGGGGGTGGACAGTGGCTGGTGCCCTCCCTGGCCCAGGCTAGCTAGACTGGGGGTCCACCTAGACCCCTTTCTCACCCTGCCAGGCTGGGCAGAGCTGCAGGGGCCACACTACCACCTGGGATGACCCTAGGTGACGTCCCAGAGATGGGGTGTCCAGACGTCGGCTGTCACATTCCTGCCTGGAGGCTCATCAGGCTGGTTCCTTTTTCCAGGGTCTGAGCCCACACGGGAGGCTGAGTCCTCCTGCCGAAGCCCTTCCTGGGGGCCACAGAGCCTTCTGGAGGAGTAACTGTGACCACCGTGACCACGGCCGGGCGGTGTGGAGCCAGCAGCCCGGAGATGAGTCCCCACAAGGGGCTCGGCTGCACGGGCGCTGCTGCTCCTGAATGAAGCCCGACCTGGACCTGCCTCTGGTCACCCCCTCCTCTGGTCTTCTTTGGATCAAAGTGTGGCCGTTGGTGGCCTGCAGCCTCCACCTCATAAATCAGGTGCTGGGCACAGTGGGCTCTTCACGTCAGGTGTCTGTTCAAGACTCCATTAAACCGGAAGATGGCCCAGGGCCCGTGCGGCGTTTTCCACCGCCGTGAACGTGACCGTGGAGAGACCGTGAAGGGCCTTTTGAACCTGGCAGAAAAGGCAGCTCCCACTCGGTTCTCCAGAGCTTCCTTGGGGTGAGTTACACAGACAGCAGCAAATGCAGACCCTGGGGTGGGCATGGAGCAGCTGCTGACCTGGCCGTGGAGTAAGACTTCGGGGCTGTGACTGGCACGAACGTCCCAGTGAGCCCTGTCTGACTGCACTGAGACAAGGCTGCACGTACAGGTGACTCGTTATTACCACTGTTTGGAACGACATTTTACTAGGGCAGAAGGCACATGTGCTCAGAGACACAATCTGATGAGTCCCGGTAACTATTACCCCAGGACCAGCAGCACAAGCATTACCAGGGCTCCAGAAACTTCTCTCCTGCCCAATTCCAGCCCGTCTCCACCCCTACAGGCAAACCTTTTCCTGATTTCCATCAGCATCCGTGAGTTTTGCCTTTCTCAGACTTCACAGAAACAGAATTACAGAGAGCACCGCTCTGGCTGGCTGCTTCCGAGGCGGGAATGGAACTTGATGCTGGAAGCGGCACTGGAGCCGGTACCCGGGTGAAGACCGGATGAAACGGAAGAGGCAAAGCGCCTTTCCATAAAACAGGCCCCAGGGCCGTGTCAGGTCGCCATTGTCGGCAATGACATGCAGCCTCGTGTGGTTTTGTTCTGCATTTCTCTAAAGATTGCCAGTGATGAGCATTTTTTCCTGTATTTGTTGGCCACATATATGTCTTCTTTTATTTTTAAATTTTTTTTTTTCAAAGATGGGGTTTCACCATGATGGCCAGACTGGTCTTGAACTCCTGACCTCAGGTGATCCACCCATCTCGGTCTCCCAAAGTGCTAGGATTACAGGCGTGAGCCACCGCACCCAACCATATATGTCTTCTTTTGAGAAGTGTCTGTTCATGTCTTTTGCCTGTTTTTTAATCAGCATATTGGGTTTTTGTTTGTTGAATTGTTATATTTTTATAGGTTCTGCAATTAGACCTTGGTTGGATACATGGTTTGCAAATGTTTTCTCCCATTCTGTAGGTCATCTGTTTACTCTGTTAATATTTTTTTCTGTGCAGAAACTCTTCAGTTTGATCGGGTCCCACTTACAGACTTTTGGCTTTGTTGCAATTGCTTTTGAGAATTAGTCATAAATCAGCCAAGGCCGACGTTCATATGCTATTTCCTAGGTTTTCTTCTACGGTTTTTCCTGCTTGGGATCTTATAGTTCAGTCTTTCATCCATCTTGAGTTAATTTTGTTTATGGTGAAAGGCAGAGTCCAGCTTCAATCTTCTGTGTATCGCTAGTCACTTATCCCGGCATGGTTTATTGAAGAGGGAATTCTTTCCTACAACCAGCAGATGCTTTGTAGGTGTGTGGTTTCATTTCCGCGTTCTCTAACCTATTCCACTGGTCTGTTTGTCTGTTTTTGTACCAGTACCGTGAGCTTTTGGTTACTGGCGCCTAGTGGTACAGTTTAAAGTTGGGTGGTGTGATGTCTTCAGCTTCGTTCCTTTTTCTTAGGATTGCTTTGGTGATTCGGGATCTGTTTGGGTCCCATATAAATTTTAAACTTGTTTTTTTTCTAATTCTGTGGAAAATTATGTTGGTAGTGTGATAGGAATAGCATTGAGTCTGTAATTGCTTTGGGCAGTGTGGCCAATTTAACAATATTGATTCTTCCTAAACATGAGCATGGAATAATATTCTTATTTGTATGGTCTCTGATTTCTTTCAGCAGTGTTTTATAATTCTCATTGTAGAGATCTTTCACCTTTTTGGGAAGTTGTATTCCAAGGTATTTTATTCTTTTTGTGTCTATCCTAAAAGGGATTGCATTCTTGATTTGGTTCTCAGCTTGGAGATTATTGGTATCTAGGAAAGCTACTGATTTTTGTGCATTAATTTTGTATTATGAAACTTGACCTGAAGTCATTTATAAGGTCTGGGAGCCTCGTGGCAGAGTCTATCAGGTTTTCTAGGCATAGAATCATATCATCTATAAAGAGAGATCGTTTGACTTTCTCTCTTCCCATTTGAATGCCTTGAATTTCTTTCTGTTGCCTGATTGCTCTAGCTAGAACCTCCAGTCCCGTTTTGAACAGGAGTGATGAGAGTGGGCCTCCTCGCCTTGTTCCAGTTCTCAAGGAGAATGCTTCCAGCTTTGCCTGTTCAGGAAGAGGTTGGCTGTGGGTTTATCATGGGTGGCTCTTATTGTCTTGAGCTGTGTTCCTTCAATGCCTAATTTGTTGAGAGTTTTTAACATGAAGAAATGTTGAATTTTATCAAATTCCTTTTCTGCAACTATTGAGATGATCATGTGGGTTTTGTTTTTAATTCTGTTTATGTGGTGAATCACATGTATTGATTTCCACGTGTTGAACCGGCCTTGCATCCCAGGAATAAAGCCAACTTGATTATAGTAATTTAACTGTGTGATGTGCTTCTGGGTTACATTTGCTAGTATTTTGTTAAAGATTTTTGTGTCTATGTTGACCATGAATATTGGCCTTAAATTTTCTTGTTTTGTTGTGTTTTCGCAAGGTTTTGCTTTCAGAAAGATGCTGGCTCCGTAGAATGAGTTAGGACGGAATCCCTTCTCTACTTTTTGAAATGATTTCAGTAGGATTGGTACTAGCTCTTCTCTGTAAGTCTAGTCGAATTCAGCTGTGAAGTCACCTGGTCTGGGGCTCTTTGGGTGGGGGGAGTTGGGAGGTTTTTTTAATCACTGGTTTCGTTTTGGAACTCATTATTGGTTTGCTCAGGATTTCCTTTTCCTCCTGATTCCTGTGGTTTTCCAGCAATTTGTCCATTGCTTCTAGGTTTTCTAGTTGGTGCACATAGCAATGGCCATAATAGTCTCCGAATGTTTTTTGTATTTCTGTGTTTATTTGGATCTTCTGTCTTTTTTCTTTATTAATCTAGATAGTAATCTATCAAATCTATTTAATCTTTCAAAGAACTTTTTTTTTGTTTCATTAATCTTTTTTACGGATTTTTTTGTTTCCATCTTGTTCAGTTCAGCTCTCAATTTGGCTGTTTCCTTTCCAGCAGAAGCAAGGTGCCGCCGAAGGAACGGCAAACGGCGGAAGCTTTGGGACTGGCTTGCTCTCGTCTCCGTAGATCCTCCAGGAGCGACATCCCGTTGTTAATTTGATATCGTTCTGATTTCTTGATGTAGTCATTCAGCACTCTAAACTCTCCTCAACACTGCTTTAGCTGCACCCCAAAGATTCCGGTATGTTGTGTCTCTGTTTTCATTCGTTTAAAAGAATTTTTAAAATTTCTGTTCTTTACCTAAATGGAGCAGGTTGTTTAAATTGCATTTAATCGCATGGTTTTGATAGATCGTTTTGGTATTGATTTATACATTTACTGTACTATGGTCCAAGAATGTGGTTGGTACGATTTATATTTGGCTAAATTTATTAAGACTTGGTTTATGGCCAAGCCTGTGGTCAACCTAAGGGTATGTGCCATGTGCAGGTGGAAAGAACGTGTATTCTGCGGTTTGGCGGAGTGTGTACAGATGTCCATCAGGTACCATTGGTCCAGTATCTACTTTAAATCCTTCGATCTTTGTTAGTTTTTTTTTTTTTTTTTTTTTTTTGCCTTGATGATCTATCTAATGCTGTCAGTGGGGTGTTGAAATCTCCCACTATGATTGTGTGGCACTCTAACTCTCCACACATTTCCGAGCACTTGTTTTATGAATCCGATTGCTTCAACATTGGATGTGTATATATTTAGGACAGTCAAGTCTTCTTATTGAATTGAATGCTTCATCGTTTTGTACTGCTCTTCTTTGTCATTTTTTAGAATTGCTGGTTTAAAATCTGTCTTATCTAACACCGAAAAGCAACTCAGTATTTTAGGTGAGGATTGGGTGCTGCCCTCACGCTATCAGCAGGTTGTTATGTAGACTGGACTGTATAGCTGCTTCCCAGTGTGAACGGGCCGCGTACTTGAGTGTGTTTGTGGTGGCAGGTGCCGTTCTTCCATTTCCATGTTTAGCGCTTCCTTTAGGACCTCTTGTAATGCAGGTCTAGTGGCAATAATTCCCTTAGCATTTGCTTGTCTGAAAATGATGTTTCTCCTTCACTTGTGAAGCTTGTTTTGGTGGGATGTAAAATTCTTGGTTTGAATTTTTTTTTCTTTAAGGTTGTTAAAAATAGAATCCCAATCCTTCTTGGTTTGTAAGGTTTCTGCTGGAAAGTCTGCTATTAGCCTGACGGGTTTCCCTTCCCCTTCTCTCTAGCTACCTAAGATGATTTTCATTCACATTGACCTTAGAGAATCTGAAGACTATGTGTCTTGGGAATGGTTGTCTTGTATAGCATCTAACAGAGGCTCTGTGAATTTCTTGAATTTGCATGTAGACCTCTCTAGTGAGATCAGGATGATGTTCATGAACTGTATCCTCAAATGTGTTTTCCAGCATCCTTGCTCACTCTCCTTCCCTTTCAGGAATGCCAAGGAGCTGTAGGTTTGTTCCGTTCACAATGTGCTATATTTCTCCATCTCAAAGGTTTTGTTTACTTTTTAATGTTTTTAAATTTTGTGCCTGTCTGTGTTGTTGCTTTGAAGATGCAGAATTCAAGCCCTGAGATTCTTTTTTTTAGTTTGATCTGTTCTGTTGTTAATGCTTCTAGCTGCATTTTGAAATTCCTGTAGCATTTTTTTTTTTTTAAATGAGACAGACTTTCGCTCTTGTTACCCAGGCTGGAGTGCAATGGCGCGATCTCGGCTCACCGCAACCTCCGCCTCCTGGGTTCAGGAAATTCTCCTGCCTCAGCCTCCTGAGTAGCTGGGATGACAGGCACGCGCCACCATGCCCAGCTGATTTTTGTATTTTTAGTAGAGACGGGGTTTCACCATGTTGACGAGGATGGTCTCGATCTCTTGACCTCGTGATCCACCCGCCTCGGCTTCCCAACGTGCTGGGATGACAGGCGTGAGCCACCGCGCCCGGCTGTGAATTTTTTTTGTTCGGTTTGGTTCTTTCTTAAAATGTTTATGTGATCTTTCACCCCTTGGACCGTTCACTGCTCTCCTTGGACTGGGTTCAGCTTTCCTCCATATCTCCACGTTTCCTGGATGTCCAGATCCTGGATCTACGTCTGACCTTTCTGTCATTTTCGTCTGGTTAAGGAGCATCGCTGGGGAGCTATGATCGCTCGAAGGTGAGAAGACTCTGGCTTTCTCATCTGTGTGGGCTGGTGTTCTTTTATCCTTTGAAGTTGCCATTCTTTGGCTGAGCCTTTTTGTTTTTACGTTTCTTATCGTCCTTCAGGGTTTGAGTGTCGCAAGTTGTGTATAATTGAATAGCTTCATTTCCTGATGATTTCAGAGGGCCAACGTCCAGCCCCTCGCTCCTGGTCAGTGACCTCTAACCCTGGGTGACTGGGACCAGGCTTGTTGCTTTGTCCTCTGGTCCCTTGAGGTTAAGCCCTGACTGGGCTAGAGTGGCTGAGGTGTTTCCAGACTGCTGGCAATGGCCCTCCGTCAGAGGCAGCAGGAATGCCTCGGGCAGAAGCTCTCTGGTGGAGGCAGCAGCCGGATCACAGGCAAACGTGCTCTTGTGGGAGGCTGACAGCAAAATTGCTCTGGCAGGGGCAGTGGAGGCACCGTGCCGTGGGAAATGCTCTGATGGAGATGGCAGGAGCACTGCAGTGAATCTGCTCTGGAGGTGTGGTATGAGCTCTGGTGGGAGAGTATTAGCAGAATTGCTTCAGTGGGGGTGGCAGGGTATCCATAGGTGGGAAGTGCCCCAGTGGGGGCAGCAGGGTCTCCACGGGTGGGAGGTGCTGCAATGGGGGCACTGTGGGCAGGGAGTGCTCAGTAGCAAGCAGCCAGGGTTCCATGGGCAAACCTACTTTGGAGGGGTTAGTGGCAGGCTCATGAGCAAACACACTTTGGTTGAAGGCTGTCAGTGAAAGAGCTCTGGTGGGGTGGTAGGGGCTTCTGGGAAAAGCACTGAGGTGGTAGCCGCTGGCAAAATGGTCCTTCGGGGTCGCTAAGGCTGTGCTGCATGCTAGCACAGCCAGGCAGGGACTTTGGGAAGGGCAAGCAGACAAGGGATTGTGCAGAGCAGACTTGTCCTGGTCCCGTGGGAGACAGCTCTGATCGCTCCAGGTCCAGCAGGCCACACAGGTCAGAGTCACCTAGAGGAAAATGAAGAACCTTCGGGGATGGGCACCAATGGCCATGCTCCGCTACAGCAGCCCCTGCACCAACCCACCTGGTCTCCATGCAGATTCAGCTTCTGTCTCTGCCTGCTTTCCTGGCAGCGCCCCCTGCCCGCTCAAATGTCTGCGGATTACGATGTTTCCTGTCGCTGTAATCCTGGAGGTCTGTGGCAAGAGCGAGTTGTTCCACGTTGGCACCACTCACCCTGTCTTAGTAGACAATCAAGGCCTGGCATGCAACCCGGAGGTTGGCAACCCTGGGCAGAGTTTTCAGCTCCTCCTCTGTGCAGTCCCAGCATCTGGGTCACCTCTCCCGCCACCCTCAATGCGTTCTCCCAGATGATCGGCCCCGAGGGTGCCAGTCTACTTGGTATTCTGTCTGCCTCAGTCGTTCTTTCTGGCTGTGTCTAGTTGGCCATCTTGTCCCCCCTCAACTCCTGGGATTTTGACTGAGATGGCAATTAATCAATTTGGAGATAATTAGCATTGTTAACAATTCTGAGTCTCACAACCCATGACAGGGTATAATTCTGCACCCTGGTATAATGTGTCTCGCTAACTTTACTCCTAAGTGTTTTATATTTTTAACACTACTGTCATCAGAGTTTTAAATTTTATTGTGAACTTCATAAATCTACTTAGCATATCTAGATAATTTCTTTGTTGTTGTTGAATTTTTTTAGGATTTTCCATGTCGATAATTATAATGCCTGTGAATAGAAACTATTTTAACTTTTTCCTTCCAATCTCTATAACTTTTCTGTTTTTGATTGTCCTGTGACACTGGCTAGGACCTACAGTACAATGTTCAATAGCAGCCATAATAACAGATTTTTGTGTGATTCCTGATATTAGGGGTAAAATTCTCAATACTTTAGTATTAACTGTGAAGTTGACTGTAAGTTTTTCATCAATGTCCTTTATCATTATGAGAAAGTTTCTCTCTACTGCCAGTTTCTGAGAGTTTTTATTATAAACGAATGTTGAGTGCAGTCAAATGTTTTTTTCTGTATTTCTTAAGATAAACATACATTTTTCTTTCTTCTGGTACTGTGCTGTATTGCATTAACTGGGGTTTTGAATGTTAAACTAACTTTGCATTTCTGAGATAAACCTCATCAGGTCCTAAAACATTATTAGTTTTAAATATTCCTGTATTCAATTTCCCAAATTTATTCAAGGATTTTTACACCTGTGATCAGGAAGAATATTGGTTTGTAATGTCTTTGCCTGGTTTTGTCTTAGGATTATCCTGGCCTCAAAAAATAAGTTTAAGTGTTTCCCTTTTTCTGTCCTGTTTTCTGAAAGTGTTTCTGTAAAATTGATAATTTTTTTTCTTTAATGTTGGAGAAAATTTTACAGTGAAACTGGGCCTGAAGTTTACTTTATGGGAAGGTTTTTGATAAATTTAATTTCTGTAATATATAGGCCTATTCAAATTTTCTGTTACTTCTAGTGTCAGCATTGGTAACTTGAGTGTTCCAAGGAATTGTCCATGTCACTTGGATGAAGAGAGAATTTGGGGTTGACAGTTTTTCTCTTAATACTTCAAAGACGTAGTTCCATTGTCCTCTGGCTTCCATCATTTATGCTGAAAAGTCAGCCATCATTTGTATTACTTTCTCCAAAGATATCATGAGCCATTTTTCTCAGGCTGTCTACAAGATTTTTTCTTTATCTTTAGCTTTAAACAGTTTGTGGTGTGCCTTGTAATGGCTTGCTTTGAGTTTATTCTACTTAGGGTTCACTGGCTTTAAATCTGTACATTTATGTTTTCACCAAATTTAGGAGAATTTCTACCTTTTTTTCTAATATTTTGTCTACCCCATTTGCTATCTCCAGTCCCTCTGTGGCTCCAGTTACAAGTTTATTAGACTGCTTGATGTTTCACAGGTCATGAGGCATCGTTCTTTGTACATTTTTCCTCTCTTGTTCTTCAAATTTGGTCATTTAAAAAATCTGTTTTCAAGTTTACTGATGTTTTCTTCTGTCATCATCAGTCTTTTACTAACCCTATCCAGGGACGTTTTCATTTTAGATATCT